GGACTGGCTGGTACCGACAGAGGTACCGGCCTGGACTGGCCTACCCCGAATGTAACACAGGCCTGTGAGATCAGGCCAAGGGGCTGGTCTCACAGGCCAACCCGAGGTCCGCTACACCTACCCCCTGCCCCGTCATCCTCCATCACACCCTGTCACCATCAACCCCACCCTCTTCCCCCACGCCTCGCCGCTCATTGCTGCTCCCCATCACCGCTCGTCGCCACGCCCTGCCATCCCGCACCTCGTGCTTTCGCCCACCACATCACCTACGACGCCTGGCTTCTCCGTGGCACACCGACGGGATTGTACTGGCACCGGCGGGGCTCCCGGCCGCGCTGCGCCCGCCGCTCGAAATCATTCTGAAATGAGTGGTCCACAAAAAAGTCAATCAGTTCTATATCCAAATCCTTACTAAATAAAATTGCTACCCCACAGTCCCCACCCTTCATAAACTCTGCTGGGGCCCAAAACTGGGGGCCCTGCCACCATCCTCTAGCCTCATCTATTTTTTCCGAGTTTAGTTTGGTTTCCTGCAGGCAATTAATATGTACCTCCTGCGAATGGATCCACTCTGACAATCTGATTTTTTTGTCCCTATACGTTGTATCACCAAGTCCCCTCATATTCCAACATGCCAGACAGATTCTATTGGGCAAGACCATTTCCATCGGTGCCGCTTGGGTGTTGGATGTGGGTGGTTGTTAACAGGGCCGAGGGGCCCTGTTCCGTGGCATACACCTTGGATTGCAGTTGCCTTAGGGAGCCTTCTGAGAGCAGGAAGCCCTGCTGCTCAGTCAGTGTGATCCATTCCACCAGCAGCTGCGCATTCAAGGATGTTCCTATCCGGATTTCAGACAGAGAGTTAGGGTCCGCTGCTAGAAGGGAGGACAGTGAGTAGCAAGTCCGCCCATTGGTCTTTTGAGCCTCGGATTGACTCCAACCCCCGAAAGGCCACATGGAGTACTACCTTCCCCTTTTCTTCCCCACCCACCACGTGCCTTCCGACCTTGGGTTGATGCAAGATAGAGACTGTCCCCATACCTCTCCGGATCACAGACTGTGTAAAGTCTATGGTCTGAGACTCGGATGGTTGTGACTGTACTTGGTATGTAGGGATTTCCAGATCTTCATCTGGCGCCATGTAGAGCAGCACAAATTACTGGCACGAAGAGTTCCACTAGTGGCTCGTGTCTTTTGTGATTTGCTGCCTGGGCGGGGTGGCATTTCAGCAAAATAGGGATATCAAAACTCGCAGATTTTGCTGCTATGGCACTGCTATGTCCGTACACCCTCAGAAATAGTCGGTTTTACAACGTTTACTCATCAAATACCATCATCTGGATTCGAATACAGGTCTGTATTTTTAACAGTTCATGGGCGTACCCACTGAGCGGCTCTTGGGTATAATTATTTTTTTTGTTCTTTCCGGCCAATGGTCTCCATTTATGCGTGTCAGGGCATACTCACGCTAGGACTTTCCTACTGAACTCTGGACGCGACTGCCGTCAGATTCATCCAGGTCTGCAATTGATTGCGGTCAGATACATTTGGGAAAATACTAGTGCGAGTATGCTGTCATGCTTTGCGCATGGGCCATGCTAATCTTCTCTGTATCGTTCCAATTTTGATGGATGTCCCGAAGAACGTGACATCGGAGGATTCGACGACCATGGCGTTTTCGCACTTTCACGCTTTCTCAGAACACGATAAAAATGGCCGTTTCCCTCACTCTTGTTGTCGCTTTTGTTTTCGCTTTCCTTCACTCCTCCCGCCTTGTGCAATATCTTTCATGACGATTCTCTCTCGGCGCTGAGTCAATCGCTTGCCAAGGATGTGAGGACAGTCGCCCGGGGGGATAATTGGCGATCACTGTTTCGGAGAGTGCTGGGGTGCTTCTTTTCTTCTTTTCATGCCTCACTGGCCTTCCTCTCCGCCATCGAACTTTCGCCTTCCCCGCGCTCGGGACGTCTCGTTTCTCTCTCTCTCTCTCTCTCTCTCTCTCTCTCTCTCTCTCTCTCTCCTCCCGCCACTTGTTTGAATTTCCTGTGCAGTCCTCGCCTTCAGTTGCCTTCCCTTGCCGCCATCGAACTTTCGCCTTCCCAACTCGTGACTTCTCATCCTCGTTTATTTTTTTTATTCTTTTCCCGGCGGTTTGGCGTCTATTTTTTTATTATTTTATTATTATTATTATTTCTTTTTGTTGCCCTCTCTGTGTCCTTCCCGCACGTGTTCGAATTTGTGCTCCTCGGCCGGCTGATGTCGCGGTTGTTCCTCGGTCGGGCTTGGCTTTCGGAATGTGTCACTTGGTTTTTGGTCCCACCTAAGCAGGTCTGGATTTGCCCAGCAGGCTTCGAAATCCTCGGCCGGAGAAAAGTAAGCGTAAGCGGGGTGAACTTGAATGGTCTTCACTCGCTCTCATTTTAAATTTTCGCTGTAAGTTTTTCTTTCTGTTGCGCGGGGACTTCGTTGAGATTCTTTTTGTTGCCCTCGCGGGATCTGGTTGGATTGGACGCCTGACTTACCTCTCTGCACGGAGACGAAGTCAGACTGTCGTTGCCCAGCCCTGCTTTCTTTCGCAGCCGATCAATCCAATCCCAAAGGGCAATCAGTCCGCAACGATCCCCTCATTGGGTCTGCTTTCCACTGCGTCTCTTCCGCTCGCGGCGGCTGACCAGTCAGGCTTGATTAGCAGCAGAAGCGGCAATTTGCGCATGGACAATCAGTTCCGCAGAAGGCGCAATTTGTGCGGACCCTGGCGCCAACGGCGGCTGCTATTCTGCTAAGCCATGCAGAGCAGAACTGGTCGAGTCTAAGGGCATACTCACACGAGGACTTTTTCCACCAAGCTCTGGATGTGATTGCCGTCAGATTCATCCTGGTCTGGCCGTATTTGCAGTCAGATGCATTATGGAAAGTGCTAGTGTGAGTATGCCCTAAGAGGCCACCGCCGTCGTAGTTGTCAGCTTGCGAAAAGCAAAAGACTTCCTCGCAAACAACAGTTGCACCAGACCAGAGTGGGCAGCGCATGCCGACATCCACTACTGCATATACGACGGCACGATCGCTCGTGCACAGGCTGCATATATACGAACGATAGAGCAGAGTCATTTTATCGCTGCACATTGATCGGGTCACCCTCAGGTCTCCTCTTATTACTGATCTCCGGCGTAGTCTGTCTTCTAGATGTCTTCGATCAGCGTGCACGAGCTGCATCGTCTTCTGCCTGTTGTTGCCGAGGGTAGCCATTTGATGCCTGTGCAATTTGTCGTCGATTTTTCTCATCACTGGTTTCCACCGTTGTCTACGCCTTAGGCGAGCTGTTCTAGTCTTTTTACCTGTCAGAGTATTCCGAGTATGTGTCCCCGCGTCCGGCTTCCTTAGGTAGTTCTTCCTTAGGTAGTTGCTGCATTCCTACATCACTCGGTTGAAGCAATAAGCGCGTGCGACTGGGCGAGATTTAAGCCAGGAGCTCTTTCTGTAATAAGGCTATAATAATGCGTGGGCGTGATTGAAGCGAGCCGGTCTTTCTCTTAGTCTATTATAATGTTATGCGACCTTCCCGGATGCGGTGAAGGACGCACGCCTATGGGGTACTGGAAGAAGTGAGCAGGGTCGGAATGTCAAGGCAGGGCACCGATACTCGCCCGCTCATCTAGAGGTCAGGCGTGCTGTGCTTAACTTCATCATTAGTCAGAGAAGCCAGGCAGGTCTACAGGTATTCGCTGCTTAGTTCAGTGAATTTCATTCTGATCAAAGCCCATCAAAGCGAAAGAAGCTCTGTGGCCTGTGGGTCCTTAGAGGGCAGTTGCATGGTATCCTTCTTGTTTACCACCATAGCCAGACAGGTGTCGGGCAATTACCTGCTAGCGTTCTTGTTCACCTTCATAGCCATTGTACCGGGGATTTGGACAGCATCTGCCACGCGTAGGGAGTGGGAGTCGTAGCCGTATGAGGATGATGGTGCGATTGATAATCTCAAGCTGCTGAATCGAAATTCAATATAGCATCCGCGCGACGGTTTTCCATTATAGTTACAGTAAGACAGTTATCAGAGCCACAGATAGAGCTACATAGTCAGGCATTCGGACAGCCGAACAAGCAAGCACCCACGCGCACCAGGAAGGATCTGTTGCTGTTTTCCGCCGACTCGGAGGTGGTTTTCGGCATTTCTGAGGTTTTGGCGGACGATCGTCCGCGAGCTCTGTGATCGCCGCGGTGATCTTGCTAGATCCCGATCCCGATCCCTGCTTCCTACCCCGAATCTGTGTCGATATCCCCCGTGTTCCACGTAATCCACGTCAGACGTCTTGTGTCTTATACAACTAAACGTTTACGATACGACTCTTTTATTATTATTATTTTTTTTACGATACGACTCTGGTTTCCCTAGGTAGTGGTTATTTCGGAGTCTGTGTCTTTTTAACCCCTACCGGTAGGGAAACCTCTGGCGTTCCATGTAGTCCAGTTCAGAGTGATTGTGTCTTGTTAAAGGCTTAGACTCTGGTTTGGCCAGACTGTGGCGGTTATTTATAGACGGTGTGTCTTTGGTGGAACAGAGCACTTGTTCCCGCGGCCCTCGGCGGCCGTGACTCCGTCTTCCTGCGATTCTCTCGGACCTTTGTGATACCGTGCTGCCCCAGTGTCTGGTAGTCTTCCCGCTGTCCTATCGTGTCTTTCCATCGTGGCTCGCCCCTTTAATCACTGTTGACCCTGTGCTGAGCCTCTCGGACGTCTCGGGGTCCGTTTGTTTCCGTGTGGCACCGTTGCTGGCTCCGCACGGGTTTTCTCGCCGGCCTGCAGTGTTGCGTCGCGTTAGGTTGTGGCAGTTGAGCTGTGAGGAGAGCAATTGCGTTAAGTTGTGACCTTTGCGCTGTGAGGAGAGCGAGGCGCATCGCTGAGTGCAGGCAGACACAACAGTGAGATTTGTGGACAGGCTATATAGGCAATCGTCGCTGCTGTGCGACGGAATGGCAGCAATGGCCGCCGCTAACCAGATGTCCTCCGGCAAGAAGAGTCGGCCTATGCCTTTGAAATTGTCCTCGTTCAATCACGTCTCGAGGAATTGTGAAAATTTGGACAAGTCCGTGAAATTCTACGAGGACGTACTTGGCTTCCAACGAATCAAACGCCCCGACGACTCTATCGGCTGTGATGGTGCATGGTGAGACATACCTCACTCAGGGTCCGCTCTTCACTCTCAATCAACACGACTGCTTCCTTCCTCTCCGACACTTGATCCTCTCCGTCTCCTTCTCCCTTTCCCTCTTCCTCTCTCATTTCAATCTCCCCCTTCCTTCTCGATTCCTATGTCGTTTGAGACGGAACAGCGTACCATCTGCGCTCAATTCCAGGCTTCAGCATCTGAAGCAGACACGTCGATCGAACGATGAAATGTTTTGACCAAGTACTCCATAAATTACAGTCATATGTAAATCTGCCCCAGTTAATGTGGACAGCCTGACTCTTCCAGACTAAGAGGAAGAACAACAACGACAGCAATAAAAACAGCGGTTAATACGGACACTTTAGATTTTTCGAACGAGATTGAAACCCCACTTATTTGGCCCGGAAAAAAAGTGTCACCGTTTTACCTCCTTAGGGTCCTCCTTGGACGTAGCTGAACTTCAGTTAACTCCAGTTGGACCCTCTGGAGATAAACAGTGATATTTTTGCGGCCAAACAAGTAGGTTTCAATTTCGTTCAATAAATATAATTTCGTTCAATAAATATAAGATGTCCATTCTGACGAAATTGCAACAAATCACTGCCGTTAGGATAATTCTCAAATGTTTCCAATTCCGACGAAATTGCTGTCTGAAAAACAACAACAACAACAACAACAAAAAATAAAAATAAAAATAAAAATAAAAAATAAAATGGAAGCATTTGAGAATTATTGTTATGAAATGCAGTAGCGTTGCACAATGCACTGCCGTTACGAAATACGTTGCGTTGTTATTTTTTTTGTATGTGAGCAGCACGAGTATGTTTAACTTATCGTGTGGATACGTAGCCATGTGACTGGGCCTGGATGCATATGTATTAATATGTACGCACATATATGAATGTCCTTATGTGCGAGTTTTGTGACCCGATATTATCCCCCTTCTCGTCCTCGGTCGCTTTGACCGTAGGATAAGTGACGCGGTTGCCACGTGTCGCTGTGTTACAAGAGATCTGGCTCTGATTTGAAGGGAGTCTGACATTTTGATTAGTAGCCCTGGACCAGCGACGCTATGCGTTCTTGCTTGATTATGTTCCTGGAAACGCCATTCGTTGTTCCTTTCTTGAGCCGCTGTTCCCCTTGCCCTTTATTGCTTGTCTCTGAGTATAGCAGGACTCGAACGAACTCGTGCATCTCTTTATTATACTCTATTATTAAACTTTATTAACTTTCGACCACATGAGCTTGGTCCGTCTTTTTTCTTTTTCTTTTGTTGAGGTTGGTCTGCGTTAGGATCCCCTTGATCTGAATGTATTATTTGTATTATTATATATATATTATATGACACACGGGGGTGGGGGCAGCCGCCGCTCAACCTACATCCACGTGGGCGGCCTTGTACGCAAGAGGTTCTGAACAGGGGGAGTTTAAAGGAAGAAGTTAAAAAATTGAATTCACTTTTCTTTTCTCGTTTTTTTTTTCCTTCTTTCCTTTCTTTCGCATTTGCGCTCTGATATTTTGTGACAATATATATTATTATTGTTTCTTAGATCAACGTACTAGACAATATTCTCTAGGATAAATTCTCCCGCAGCACGGCCTGCATAAGGAGCAAAAAATTGAAGTGGAGCAGGGACGTCCCACTAGGGGCCGTTTTTAGGCTTGGTTTCGAGTACACACCCGTTCCTGCCATCCGATCTGGACATCTCACGGCCGCACTGTGGGCACGCTGGAAAGTATTGGAAAGGAGGACTCGACCCCCGCTGGTGTCCGTCGGGACATCCGTTAAAATTGGAACGAGATACACAGAAGATTAGCATGGATGACATGCATAAATCGAGAAATGGTCTCAATTAAAAAGGGGGAAAAAAAAAAACACCCAAGAGCCTAGCTCAGTGGGTACACCCATGAACTGTTGAAATACAGACCTGTGTTCGAATCCAGCTGATGGAACTTGACAATTGAAACCAACTACTAATAAATTGCTTGGGGTCGGTCAGCTCAATGATAATATCTCACGACCGTTGCCCTTTAAAAAAAAAAAACAAAAAAAAAAACCGCTAATGTGGGCACGTTGAAAAATATGCGAAAGGAATATCGGCCCAATTTTAACGGAGTAATCTAAGGGAGGATCCTCAGACAGGGAGATGCTCATATCACTTCCTGGATGAGGACCGACCGTCCAGATTTTCAAAAAAAAAAAAAAAAAAAAAAAAGGGCATCCGTTAAAATTGGAACTATACAGAGAAGATTAGCATCGCCCCTGTGCAGGGATGACCCGCATAAATCGAGAAATGGTCCACATCTTAGGCTACCAGCCGGGCCGCCCGGGTCACCCTATTTTCCCGGGCGGCCCGGCCGTGCAAGGACCAGGGAAGGTCCCAGCCAAAAAAAGAAAAAAAAAAACCCTCCAAAAAATCCGAAAAAAAACTATGTTATTAGAAAAATAAACTGAATAACTTTTGGCTCAGGGTCACATCGAAATTCCTTACCAAATTTAAAATAAAATCTAAAATTAAAAAATATATTTTTTATTTTTTTTCATTTATTTTTTGCCCGGCCGGGCAAGTGGATCCGGACCACTCTGGTAGCCTAGTAGGACCACATCAGGAAAAAAAAAAAAAGGAGAGAACGGCAGACGCGGCAGGCTCCGAGTTCGCAAAGGCAAAAGAAAAACACGTGCCCGCAGAGATATCACTGCCTGAGTTTGAAGCGGCAATTTGGGTAGAAAAGAATCCGTTGGGCGTTTTTGTTCTGCCCCCCCCCCCCCCCCCCACCGTCTGATACCACGGCCGACACCGGTAGTTATGACACCCGGCCTGACTCCACCGCCGTTGGCACTTTCGTTGCTTTTTGGAACTTGGGGCCTGTTTTCTTTGCCGGCGAGTGTTATTTTGGCTCATTTGATACTCTTTGCTCATTCGATACTCAAAAGTGACATCAACGTACTTCCCTCCTATAGGGAAACGAAGGGAAAAGCTTGTAATAACGTAATGAAGTTGTTACTAAGATTTCTAAAATAGTAAAGATCTTATAATTAACGTATGTATTGTTTTGAAGCTTTTGATTTTTATCTTCTCTGTATCGTTCCAGTTTTTGACGGATGGCCACGAAGGACAATCAACGTATTTAATGTTATCAATTTCTTATAATCGCATTATGTCTAAAATGAGTAGTGTACCCAGCCCATGTGGCTGAATGGTACACTGATGAACTGTTGATATGCAGACCAGAGTTCAAATCCTCCTGATGTGATCAGTTGCGTGCAATAACCTGGGCCCGGTCAATTCAATGATGATACCTCGAGGCCGTCGCCCTTTTAAAATTTCCTTCCCATTTAAAATAAAATAAAATTAGTAGTGTCCTGTTAATGTGGTAGTCACATTTCGTGAGCGTTCCTATTGAGCGGGGGCACTAGGGGGGGTTCAGTTTAGACTCCTTGTACAGTGTGACACCGGTGACAACAAGGGGGGGATTCAATTTAGAATCCTAGTACAGTGTGACACCAGTACAACTAGGGGGGGTTCAGTTTAGAATCCTAGTACAGTGTGACCCAGTGACAACTAGGGGGGGTTCGGTTTAGAATGGTAGTCACATTTCGTGAGCGTTCCTATTGAGCGGGGGCACTAGGGGGGGTTCAAGTTACTCCTAGTAGTGTGATACCAGTGACAACTACCGGTAGGGGGGGTTCGGTTTAGAATCCTAGTACAGTGTGACACCAGTGACAACCTATTCCGCTCAAATCTAACAAGCAGACCCCCTGCGGTGAAGAGGGGAATAGACCTAGCATAAATCTTTCTTCTCGCCGCAGGTCGCTGTTCGTCTCTTCTATGTAGTGCCGCCCTTTCGTGGATGATGTGGCGAGCGGGTTGTTTTTGTCAGGACAACAGTAAGAACGAAACACAAACGCCACCCACAACACGGAGACCAACGTACAAGTGTACGGAAATATACGACTTTTCCGTTGCCGCTCTCACTCTCTCTCTGTCTGTCTCTCTCTGCGTGCCGGCAATCGGAGAAAACATCATCATCAATCACCATTTCCACTCTCGTTGTCCTTTTGATTGGATTGGAGAGCGAGAGGGCCGATGCCAGCACAGACGCTGATATCAACTTAATGCCACACATACACAGGTTGCAAACAAGGAGCAGAGCAGCAAAGTATGCGAGTGTCGGAAGCGTCAACTCTTCAAAAGATTTGTTGTCATCATCTGCCTCTCTTTCTTTGCGACTCTGTCATCATCTTTGTCTCTTCCTTTCTGACTCGCTTTTGACGTTTTCTGCCTCTTTTCCTGTGTTGTCTCTACCTCCACCATCATTGTTATCAGCATGTGTCCGTGAGTCTAGATGTGTATTCACTAACAGAAAATCAGCTCATCGTGCTCCGTCGATGGTTGTTATCACGGTTGTCATGATCTGTCTGTCTTTCTTTCCGATTCTGTTTTCTGCAGTGTTATCATTCTTGTTGTCATCATTTGCGGCTCTTGTTTTCGGGCTCGCTTTGGGGCTATCGAAGTTTGTTGCTGTGCGAGCAAATCATGATGATGCAGCATGATGTCTATGTCGTTCTCTTTCTTGTGAAGTATCTTGCTACGCCACTCCCGTCCGTTTCCGCCCGATGGACCGTCGTAGAATGTCTGAAGACGTCCGTAGTGAGAAGCATGTCGTTGCTTTCCAAAATACAGTATGTTGCAAGATGCTTTCGAACGACTGAGAGGCAGTGAGTGATTGACGGTCGGCGACTTAGATGTGTCTGATGCTTGTCATTGAAGTATGTGCTGAAACAAATGAAAAGACTCAGAAAAAGGAACTTACAACTCGGATCTCCATGAGTGTTATGCGTGTCATAGATGTGCCGGAGGACAGAGGTTCAGATGTTGATTGATTGGTTGATTGGCCGCTCGATTGCTCTGTGTGTTTGTGTGTGTGTGTGTGTGTGTGTGTGTGTGTGTGTGTGTGTGAGAGAGAGAGAGAGAGAGAGAGAGAGAGAGAGAGAG